AGGAAAAACGAAGAAAATTCCATAACTTTCAGCCACCCGTACAAGTTTCCAAATGCAAAGCTTGAGACTGCGAATGGTGTATTTGATTTTTTCCCTTTGGAGTTTCATTAACGATTTCTTTCATTTTATGCTTGGCTAAATTGTACTTGCTGCAGACCCTTTGCCCAGGATAAGATAAGTTTTTTGGTTCACTGACTCAGGCGATGTCTGTCTGTTACCCCCTTCCGCCTGCCCTCCTGCACTGTCGCTGAAGTTTATGTCTGAAATATGTTTTTGCTAAATGACTAGTTCCACAAAACTCCTAAAATAGAATGCCTGTGATGTGTTTGCTTTTCATTAAAACGTTTGCTTTTGTTCTATCGCCGTGGCCGGCCGGCATCAGGAACAACGAAAAAAGTTCGTCCATGCAATTCTTTTTCCCTGTGCTTTAACAGACTCCTTTCCCATTCCGAGCTACATAATATATATGTTTTTTGTTTTTGCAGTTGGGCTCATTTAGCTTTCATATTCACTTTGGTTGGCCATTTTCCTGATGGGATTTCTATTGTATGCATTGTTTTATATCTTGCCGGCCATATTCCACTTGCAAAGGGCCACTGCAGCTCCATAACTGGTAGCAACAACTGCCAAACGTGGAGACATCAGCCAGCATCCTCCGTTCGCTCGCTTTGAGCCTCCATTACTGAATATGGTCATCGTCCTGTCGTCGTCGGTGTTAATGGCCGGCATGTGAAAATTTTGCCAAAATAAAATGAAGCGAAATGGACAAAGCAGTGCAAAGCAAAGCGATTCATACAAAAGCTAAAAACGAAACTTTTTCCTCAAACAGCAATACAATGGCCAAGCACATTTTGAGCCACAATGAGCATTTGCTTAATAAATGTGCGGAGGAGCGGTGGCGGAGTGGTGGCCAGTGGCTAGTGGTGGCTGCTGACATCTTTTAAACATTCAACTGAAATTTCCATTCCATTCCCATTTGGATGCATTCGTTTGCTTTGTTTTACTTGTTTTTATATTTTATTTTCAGTTCAGTTCGGTTTGGTTTGGACGTCCCAACATTCGCCATAGAATTCTTAATTAAATTGTATTCGAATAGAAAAATAAATTTCATCCTTTTGACATGACCTGTTCGCTGGATGAAGCGCTGTTCTCGTTGTTGTCGTTGCCTGTATATCACCGTAATTGTCGTAGGTAGGACTGCGAGCCACCGCCACCACCTGTATGTTCGGTGACACGATGTGAGAATCACGTTTGCAGTTTTTACACAACAGCTAAAGTATTTCTAATCTTTTCAATTGGCTTTTATTTAAAAATAAATCGCTGTCAAGCTGTTAGTTCGTGTCCGACCATCCCTCACACGGATAGCTGCTGGATTATTTGACGATTTAAATGTTGAATGAAAAGAAATAAAATGCAAAGTTTAATACGAAAATGTATTGTCACAGCTAGTAAATAGCATGATGCTAAGGTCGTTATCATATTGAAGGTGTGGGTGTGTGTGTGGGTATGTGTGAATGTGACTGACCAATTACTATGAAATAACAAGAAACGTTAGTGAACGGAAGTGAGAAGGACAGTTTTACTGCATATAATGACGATAGAAGTAATATAAAATTGAGAGTTTTGGTAGAATGTAGGAAAGAGAAAGCTTACCACAGATATGATGTCAGGGACAGACTTCATTTTGAATTAGATTTTCTAAAATATATCAAATTTAATATTAATTCAAGATTGGAATGTAATAGAAGCATCTTACAGGCTCTGATTTCAATAAAAGTCCCATGTCAAATGTTCATATGAAAAACCAAAACACTAATGTAGTTTTATAGTATTTTGTAAAACGATACCTGTCTGTATGATTTTTACTATCCGATTTAAAATAAACTCTTTATTATTTATTTTAAGTTTGATTGGGCCAAAAATTATGTAACACCTCGAAATATTGGTTTCTCACATAGGAAAGTAGGCATGGATCTTCCTATCTCACCGATCTAAGTCAAACTAGCTCTGCATGTCCGTACATCAGTCCGTCCGTCTGTCCAAGTTAATTTGTAATTACTCTACAGGTCGCAATTATGGCCCGATCCTCACCAAATTTATTCTGGCTAGAGCCAGAATAGAAGCCTTTACTTTTGAAGAGTATCGCATAATATTTAGAGGTTAAAATGTACCAAAAACTGACAATTTTCCTAATTTTGCAGTTGCTCTACAGGTCGCAATTATAGACCAATCGACGCGGAAGTTAGCATGGGGCTAGAGCTTAGGGCTTCCAATTTTGATGGTCATCGGGTAATATTAAGTGAGTGAAATAAACCATAATATTTATGTTAAATCAAAGTCAAATTCCATTACACCGCGAATATTTTTAATCCCAGCGAAATCATAAATAGACTAACAGGCTAATTCTGACCGTTTCGTAGATGCCGATAGTAGGTTGGAATTGTTATATACAGATTGCAATTATCGTCCGATCCTCAAGAAAATTATCACAATGGTAGGCTCAGAAGGGCTAGGCCTATTGTTTTCAAAGATTTCCGCAATATATTTAGTGGTTAAATTTGGGCCAACAATTAAAAATTTTCCTGGTTTTGCAGCCGTTATAAAGGTCACGAAATCTGGCATGAAGTTAGAGTTTAGGACAGCGGGTAGAATGGACCACAAAAGGCGAAGTTCTGGCTTTTTATGCTGATTTCGTAGACGAATATAGCCAAATATCGCAGACAAACAAATCATATAGATGATTCTAAGTTTGGAGATACAGCGGGGCCTCTTGCTTTTGGAGACGATCGCAAATATTTAGAGATTCAAATGAACCAAAATCAGAAAAAAATTCCTAATCGCACAATTGAAGCCAATCGACACGCCTGAGAAGTGATTTAAGGACAGGGAAGAATTCTATGATTTTGGATGACCATTATATTATATTTAGCTGTAAAATGTACCACTACAACTAACAGCACGCGGAGTGCGTAGATATTGGACAAATGTCCCTGGTCGAAATGCTAAGAATAATATCTTTGCAGTGCTCCATGATATAATTTCAAAAGCGAAATCTTCCAAAATGGATTTGGACAAAAGGGGGCTTCTAACATATTGTAGTGTTGTAGGGTATCACATGGCCGGCCCCGCACGACTACAGCCTTTGCTTATTTGTTTATAATAAATATATGGCAAAATATTTTTCACATGATTGAAAAGCCACACAAAAACACATTTAAATTTTACAAAATAGGCCATGAAAATGTTGGAAATGGTATGAAGCTATGACCTACCTAGTATTCATTGTACCATGAGAATAGCGCCGTGTTCAATAATAAATGGAAAATGTTCAGACTCAGTTTAGAATTTTGATCAGATCACATAATGTTAGGCTATACTTTCTATAAAACCGATTTTCCATAAGAACCCACCAAACCTTATGAAATTAAGAAACTAGAATTTTCCCTTTAATGGTTATTGGGTTTGAGGCTAGATTACGATGTCCAGGTGCAGCTGTAATGTGTAACAGTCAGCTGAAAATGAGCAACTTGGGTTGGCCACCAGAACTCAAGTTATCCCGAAAATATTCTGGAGAGTGTATTAAAGCCTTGGACACGCAAGCATTTTGGCTGCAGACCTTGGACATTCCAACAGGACTCAGCACCGTCGCACTCAACACGCGCCACCCAAGAATGGTTACAAATTGAGGTTCCCCGCTTCATTTCCAGTTCATAATGAACACAAAAATATCCGGATACCAATCCGTTGGGCTATTGTGTCTGTAGTATTTTGACAAGCAAGGTTGGTACTAAAAATGCCAAATTTTCGATTACCTCAAGCAAGCTCTTCGCCGGGAATGGGCCAAAATATCACAGAGCAACATTCGAGCAACGTGTGACGGTTTCAGTGGTCGTTTGAAGGCCATGATTCATGCCAAAGGTGACCAATTCGAATAAATCCAAACTTATTCTAAAATTTGATGCTATTTCCGACATTTTTTGCTTTCGTTCAATGAAATTAAAAAAAAATGTAAAAATTATGGCGTTTGACTTTGTTGCAGTTTTCTTATCTTTCTTATCCTATATATAAATTACAACAACTTTAACAATAACAAAATTTTTGCGACAGAAAATACATTTTAAATCGAAGATATTCAAAATTCAGAAATTTGGACCATTTAAGCTGTACTAAGCTAAATTCGTATTACATTTTTCAAATTTAAAATAATATGTGCTCTGTTCCAGAACCTGCAATAATCTACAATTTTTGCAATGTTCTTCGTAATCATAAAGGGAAATTCGGTTGTCGAATTAAAAACTTGTGCATTCTTGTGTTCTGTTAAGTAAATTATTTGAAAAATACATTGGCCTGTTCCAGAACTGAAAGAATGTAAAAGTTTTTACCACGATAACCAATTTTTCCTTTCATGATATCGAAAAAAATGCAAAACTACTCGATTCATGTACCTTGATATATACATTCACACACAAAGTACGAGTAGGGCAGGTTGACGAAACTTGAATAACATGTCGCTGAACACGACGTTGTGTAATAAAAGGTAGGCCAGTAAGTCCATCTGACAATTGAGTTTGCTATCAAAAGATATATTGTGATTTAAAATTCAAAGATAGTCAAATCACAACAGTGCAAATTGTCAAAAGTAGTCTTTTTGACCGACCATAGGTAGGCCTTGATAACAACAAAGGCGCCATATGAAAAATGTGTACTCAAGTGATTTATATTGTGTACCTTGTAAATTATGAAGCATGCCTTGGTATATACATAATTCAAAAAATAAAAATGTTCTGTTCTCCAAAATCAAAGTCTTATCCAAAATAAAAAATAAATAAAGCATATCGCATGTACACTACGAGGTTTTCCACATGGACCAGAACTGGATGATTTCATGTGATTTTCAAGTGCATTTGTGTAAAACATTATTGTAATACAGATATATATATATTTATGTGTATATGTATACAATTTATTAATTACAATTTTCTCTCTCTCTCTCCTTGCAGTGATATGCCTTGTGGTTGCCATACATTTGCCCGCGTTTTGTCATGCCCAACAGCAAAAATTCCGTGTAACACCTCACGACCTACAAGTGCTTGAAGGAGCGGAAGCTATGTTGCGCTGTGAAGTCTCCAATTTAGCCGGTGCTGTTCAATGGACTAAAGACGGATTTGCTCTGGGGTTTTCGGCGGTAATACCGGGATTCCCACGCTACTCGGTGCTGGGCGACCGTAAACAGGGTGTCTACAATCTGAGAATATCGAATGCCTCAACCTCAGATGATGCCGAATACCAGTGCCAAGTTGGCCCAGCACGCTTGAATTCAGCGATACGAGCGAATGCTAAGCTCATTGTCATCTGTAAGTATTGTGCGCCCTCCCTCCTTCCATAGATTTTAATTAATTGCATCTGATGGATGCATTTCATTTGATTGCCGAGCACCGGCAATTCGCCCACTAATGCCATTACACTTAGAGTTGATACGAACAGTGTTTTTGTTGTTCTCGCTTTTGCTGTTGCTGTCGTCGTTGCATGCATCCTTTCTTCCATTCTTGCCTTTGCTTCCATCATATCTGTGCCTGATCCAAATGCCCATTCGTTTGGCTGTTTCCTCTTGATTTAGTTTAAATGTTCGTCGAAATTTTAGTCGAATTAAAATCGCAAACTGATGCTATCGAACGAACGAGCGAGCGAGCGAACACTTTGTTATCCTCTGAATAATGTAGCGTGTTGTCATTATTGTGTGTCCTTATATTGTGCCGATCGATGCAAAGCGTTCAACTTTATGAAATGAAATGTAATCAAATTGATTGGATGAGTTTATGGCTGTTTTGCCCGTTATTGTTGGTGGCGTAGGTGTTGTTGCTTTTGCATTTCCGTATTTCCGCCCGCTCCAAAAAGAGAAGAAGAAGTAGAACAGCGAACCTAGAAACATGTACTAAAATAGGTCAAATCACACGATTTGGATGGTGATGAAGCAAAGGACGAAAATTATCATCGCAATGAACATGATGAACATGATGATGATGATAATGCTGCAGCTAGTGGTGGTGGTGGTGGCGGGCAGGGCTGTGTTGGCAGATGAATTTGTGTTTTATGGCAAATAATTTAATTGAAAATTCTCATGCAGACAATTTGATAAGAATTGAATACTGAAAATTCCATTTATTGCAAATTCAATTATTGACAGCTCCATATGGCCGGGTCAATTGGTGGCCGAACGACAGAATGGTTTGAACGATTGGTTTATTGGTCGACCTTTGTTAGGCCACAAAAACACTTGAATTTATTTAATTTACAATTACAAACACGTGTGTGGCAAATATTTAACAGTGCAAATTAACAATGTTTTATACATATGTATGTGTGTAGGTGCATTGTTATTGACATTATGAGAATGAAATTGAAGAATTATACCAAAGCGATACAGATCTCTACCTCAATGTAATTATGATGAAATTTGAAGATTTTCCTATTCAGAGCGCAAAAACTCGCGTCTTCGGACAATTCTCTGGATTCTTCATCATCATCTACTATTTGATATACCCTCTTTATTATAGAAAATATTAGAAGCAGACCTTCGGAAAACTCGCTGAAGTTCGAGTAGAGTGAAGCACGCTCGAAATCGAACAAAAGCTCTCTTGGGAGAATAAACAACAAAACGAACAAAACTCTATGTTTTGGTTTCCCTCAAATAAGAGCGAACATGCTTTGCTCATTTTACAGAGGGAGCAAAATTCGTTCGAAAACGAGCGGATTCTACTCTTGCCGAACTACAACATAAAAACTTCGTCGCTACTAGACGCCTCGCTTCTTGATTTTGCACAGATCACCTCCTCACTCTATTTCGAGCGTTTCGACTCCCACTCATATTTTTCAAGCAAGATTGACTTGGTAGATAAAAAGATCCATAAAAAGCATCTATTCTTAAAGAAATATCGCTCATAAGATTCACTTCCGAGTGAAAACGAGCAAACCGTTTAGATTTTCTAAATTGATGTTGCCACATTCGCCCGCGGCAGGTTAAATGATTAGATTTTGCATAGTCTATGGACAGGTCAGATTTGGAGATAGGCTATATTGCCCCCGTGTTTTATAGTCAGCATATAGTCGGTATTTGTAACGAATTTTTAGAAATCGGTTCTTTCCCTTGTGTCAGAACATTGTTCATATAGGCATTGTCCTCATAAAATAGATATTCAGTGTCCCCATAATTTAAACCCTATTTTTCAGAGAAGTGATTAAAATTTTATATTTCATGTTCGCAATAGATACAAACTACTGTGGCAGGTAATTGTCTGCATAGGCCTCCGTTCTTATAGCTCTATAAAACGGTATGGAGTTATTATTTTGAAACGTTTCCCAGCAAAAAAATAACGCCTTCTGCATTACCAATTGTAAAGGTAATTGTCCTAGAGTTTTTATACCCTACACCACATAGTGGTAAGGGTATTATGTCTTTGTGCATTTGTTTGTAACAGGGAGAAAGAAGCAAGATAGACCCATAATTAATTTTATGGATCTTCACTCACTTTTTGAGTCTATTTATGCATGTCAGTCCGTCCGTCCTTGTGAACAACATGCATGTCGCATTTATTATCCGATTGAGATGAACTTTTACAAACGATGTTTGTTTGACCCAAGGACGAGCTCTATTGAAATTGGTGATAATCGGATCAGATTTAGATGTAGCTCCATATATCTTCAACCGATTTCGGGTAAATTGTGCACCAAATTGCTAATATAAGTCCAAATAACCTGTATTTTCGTACATCCCACCGAATTCAGCCTAGAAGTAAATCAAATTTGGAGAATATCGATTTAGGTATACCTATAGTTCCCATATATATGTTTTATCCCATTTGGGGTTTAAAGTCCCTTCCAGATTAGGATATAGCTCCCATATATAACTTTATCCGACATCAGGTTTATTGTGCATCAAATGGTTAATATCAGGCCAAATTTTGGCAATTGTGCCTGAATGCATCCTATAAACCAGTATTTCAAAGTTGGTGTAAATCGGTTCAGATAAAGCTATAGCTCCCATATATATGTTTTATACGACTTGGTCCTTCACAAGCGTTACACAACAATGCTCTTTGGTACAAAATATCAGATACACCTCCGAAATAAGTGTATCAAATTTTGTCAAGATCGGTTCAGTTTTGGATATAGGTCCCATATATATCCTCAACCGATTTCGTGTTAATTGTGCACCAAATGGCCAAAATCAGTCCAAATTACCTAAATGTTGGTATATCCGGCCGAATTCAGGCTAGAAGCAAGTACATTAAATTCGGAAAAAATCGGTTCAGGTATAGGTATCTGCTACCAATGATATTTGGTACCAGATATCTTATAAAGCTCGCAATTACCCTTTCCAAATTTTATCTTAATATGCATAGCAGTATTGGCCCCGCCCGACTTTTGACTTTTCCTTACTGGTTTCTTATGAAAATTCAAAGCAAAATGGCTCATTTTCATCATTACCAAGTAATGAGTAACGTGGATGTTGATGTAGATATGTGGGCCTTAAACCAAACCTTTTAACTAAAAAATCAGAAAATTCCAGGTTCAAAAAAAGTGAAAACGTAGAATTTTAAATTAAAGCAAAACACTTGTCGACTTTTAGATGATAAAAACTTCTGTTTTCTTTATCCTGTAGAAATAATGGACAGTATGTTGATTTGTAAGTAGCTACTACCATCAGTTTTTAAAAGGGATTTTCTGGATATGAACTATTTTCACCCAGTGAAATAAAATATAATTAGTTCAGAATGAAATATCATATTTTCTGCTTCATGTGAAGCAGTCCATATAGAAACATGAAAGATAGATTCTGCTCCTAATATTTCAAGAAGTTGTAGCTTGGATTTCTAAATTTTCTTTATAAATATAATTTTAAACGTAAAAAAGTTTTTACTATTTTTTGTGTCGGAAAAAAATTCAAGGTAATTTATAACCTATAGCTTCAAAAATAAAAAAGTAAGTACAAAAGGAGCTAAGTTCGGCCAGACCGAACTTTTGGTACCTTCCACCATTTAGAAGGAATTTAAAAATTGCAATAATTCTTTACCAAAAAATGCCGCTTAAATGGGAACCTTTATTTGGGACCTATACGAAGACGTGGGCCTGCATGCGCAAGTTTTTGTCCTACGTTCCATACCATGGTGGAGGGTATAAAACAGTTTTAGCAATTCCTTCACTACGCACATCCGAAGAGCCTTGCAAAAACATGATCAAGATGCGAAATACTCTACTGTGCCGTTGTTATGTTCTTGACTTTTTTTCGCCAAAAAGATATAGTCTGAAGCCACTTGAACTCATAATATAATTACTACTTAGGAATACACATATCTTATACTTATATTTAAGTACAAAAAAAGAAATCACAAGTCGGATGAAAAATCACTTTGTTGAATTTCCTAGACATTTCTGCACAAAGATTTTGCTGACAAACTGTATGTTTGAGCCTGTACCAATTTTGGCACGACCAATGACCGTTGAATCCCAGAAATGGCATTCAGTTTGTTTATCACTTCCAAGGATTCGAGGCCGGGCAAACATGTCAGCTTGATATTCCCCAAACAAACCCTTTTTAATTACATTTCTTAACATTTTTGTTAGCGGATAATCTTTTGTTTTTCACAACCGTTTCGGGTAAATAATAAACAACGAGAATAAACAATAATAATGTTTAACATAATAAAATCAACATCTTTAACATATGGCAATCTAATTGAAAATTTAAATGCCTCCAACAATGCGTTTCCCTCGACTGCGATTCGTTGCTCGCAGAAAAGAAACCCCATTTGCCACGGCGAGAAGGGTCTGAGTCGAGCAACGGCAACCAGTCGGTGGGTCGGTCGGTCGGTTGGTCATGGTTTTAGCTGTTGTTGTTGTACTTTTGCATCTTTGATTTCCTCATTTCGTTTGTTTCGTTTCATTCTTTGTTTTATGAAAATGGTCAAATTTCCTTTTGCAAACAACATCAGGAAATTGACCCAAAAACACACAAACACACATAGCAAACGAACAGACATGCACACTTTTATGTGGAAGATTGCTGCAAAAAAAAAAAAAAAAAAAAAAAGAGCGAGAGAAAACTGGAATATAAAAGGGCCGTGGGTTGTTGGAAAGGAGGTGGGGTAGAGAGCAGTGGTGGAGCGGTTTGCAAGAACATGTTAAAGAAGAACAACACACCGACCCGATGCTTACTTTGTTTTGCCAATAAAAAGCAAAAACGAAAAGAAAAATAAACGAGAATAAACGAATATTTAAGCGAAAAAAGTTAAGGAGAACAAACGACAATGTGGATGAGCGAAACAAAATGCAATAAATGTAAAGCAATAAAAAAACA